CCTGGGGGCTGGGGGAGGAAAAATGAGCAAAAAACGGCCCATGTTTGCTCGATTTTGCCCTCCCCAGCCCCCAGGAGCACTCTGGAAGCCTCTTAAAGGCTATGCACGGCCATTTTGGTGAAGGGGGCGGGGTTTCAGGAGGCCAGAAATGTTGTATTCAGTGTATAAGATGCACTCAGATTTTCACCCTCAATTTTGAGGGGAAAAGATGCATCTTACACTCCGAAAAATACAATACATCCAATGGAACTTTAAGAAAGTGTCAAAGAAGCATATATTGCTGGGGGGGGGGGGGGAAGAACTGACAGAAACATCTAATGCTCTATCAACCAGGTGATTGAACCGGAATGCAGGTAGATAATGTAATGCTTATAAATGCATTAAAAAATATCGGGGGAGGGGGGATTCAGACATGTATGAGAGAATCTGTTTGACAATCTGCCCATCCAACTATGTTTTTAACATTATCATCTTCCAGGGATGCTGTGCGGGGAGAAAATATTACTTCTCCCCGGAAGAGCACCGAATATTTCCTTGTCTCTTTTTCTTTCAACTGCACTCATAGTGGAGACCTCAATGGAACTACCGTATTTTTCAGACTATAAGACGCACCATGATTTTGAAGAGGTACATTTAAAACAAAAGTTTTTGCACTCTGCAAGCCTCCCAAACCCTCAGCATGCCTTATTTCTTGCAAAAAAAAAGCGGGGGCATGCAGAGCTTTGGAAGGCTTGTAGAGTGCTCCTTGAAGGCTTGGGGCGGGGGGGGCAAAAACATCTCATTTTTTTTTCAATTTTGCCCTCCCCAGCCCCTAGGAGCTCTCTGGAAGCTCTGCACGGCCATTTTTGCAAAGGGGGCAGGGTTTCAGGTAGCCAAAAATGCTGTATTCAGTGTATAAGACACACTCAGATTTTTACCCTCATTTGGGGGGGGGGGAGGTGTGTCTTATACTCCGAAAAATACAGTACATCTAATGGAACTTCAAGAAAGTGCCGAAGAAGCATAGGAAGTCAGCACCCACCCTTCTCCTAGAAAAATGAGATATTTTAGGGAATATTAAAATGGCAGAATATTTTCCCTAAAAGGGAGGCAGAAACTCAGCCCCTCCCCTAACTTTGGGCCATTAAGGCCTGGGCCAGTCTGTTCTACATGACAAAGGTCTACCTCCTTTAGGTAGAGTAAGGCTCAACCAAGCCTGGGACACAGACAACCTATAAAGTTGTCCCTGCATGGCCCCATGAGAGTCTGACAACCAATCAGAANGAAAAAGAGAAAAAGAGAAAAAGAGAAAAAGAAAG